AGTGTCTTTGTGTTTACACTTTACATGCACGTCGTCGAAGGACCATTTTCGATAGTCTGTTCTTGACGTTTCCCGATTTCGTCCCCGTTTTTCTTCGTTTTCTCGTTTGCATTCATGGATGCCCCCCACTCTCTCTCTCTGTACATAAGCGTGCTGCGCCGTTGGCTATGCGGCATGTGGGCGGTGCTATGAGTCTGCATGGCGCTTCGCCCACCTGTCAAATGACGTGACATGACGCTTCTCGTCATTCTTGAAAAATTCCCTGAAATCGAGCTACGACCAACGGAGGATCAAGGTGTATTGAGAGGAAGGTTTTGTTTCTGCTCTACACCGCTGAAAACCACTCAGTTTAGAATTGTGCAGCGATTGCGACTATGAACAAAAACTACCGCCTGATGTCATGAAACACAACGTTGTGTATGGGTCGCTCTTCAGAGACGTAGTTCGTGCATGCCACTGTGGACCGAAGTAGATTCGTTCAGTCCAGAGTGCCAGTCGTTTCTTTGAAATTGCCTAATGACCAGTTACTAAGGCGATATCTTGACCTACACATCAATTAAACAGTTAGCCATCAGCCAAGCCAGCTTAGCGAATTCTGTTGCGTAGCTGAAGTTTGCTATACGTGAAGATGTTTTAGCGTTCCGGCTGAACTTATCGTGAATGACAGACGTTCATGACATTCATGACATTTATTTATTACAGCAATAATTGAATTATAACATCGATCATTTAGCGACGCTTTGCAGCTTCATGAAGTGAATAAAAATATGACTGATGAAACTGCAAAATAAACGTAGCTGCTGATTACAGTAAGGTAATTACGGCAACAAATTGTGGCGCAGAACACTTCGACAACATGTTATGTAATTGATAAAAAAAATTTAAAAAAAGTTCTTTTTCCCTAACAGATTTGTTTGAAGATGGAAATTTGGTTAGTGGAGATATTTTTCGAGTATTGCTACAGTGAAATGTCATGAACAGCCTTGCAATTGTGAGTCGTGTGATCTTAGTATCGCAGCGTTTCAAATTCGCCCTGCAGCCATAGCAGTTTCGCGGAACTCCTAGCAAGGACGGGCTGATTTGTAATTGGGAAAGGCTTTGATTGCACAACCGCTGTCGCTAAGCTGGCTTGATGAATGGTCGATTGTTAATTTGATTTGCAAGCGAAGCACTGGCAGCTAAGTGATCGTATGGGAAGGTTAGCGTTTTCTAATGAATAGTGAAGCAGCTTCAGGTGATACAGGCACGGACGGATTACCACTGTGAATTGCAACGCATGCGTCAAACGCTAAGGGCAGACGATACTCTTATGTACACGCCACTGGTTGTGCAGTCGCCGCTCTTGCGGGAAGCGGTGTAGCGTCGAACCTACCACGCCTACTGTAATGCAGTCATGTTCTACATTGCGACGATGAGCATAGAGACTGTCCTCAGCAAGATCAGACGACAGACTGCCGCGATTGTGACCCATAAAATGAGGCAAGAAATCTCCTCAGCGCACACTCCGCTAAACCAAGCCATGCCAAGCAGTTAAGAATACGATTCGTCATCCCGTTTAACACGTGGTTTAAGCCGGCGTAACGAGAGCCGACGTCACGTATTCGGCGGAACACTGCAGTTCTCAAAATGGTGTTGACTCTGAGCCACTCCTTCTCCGTTTCGAGTGATCGCAGTTGTAACCGTTTGGCCTTTTGTAGAGGAATGTGATTTGATGGCGTTGGCGTAAGCTTCAGGGCAGGAGGTCATTGATCGGTCAGACACGCTCTTCAGATCTGGAGCAGTCGCGGCTTTGAACTAGAATCATTTAACTTCGCCGTCCGAAAATGCATACAGCGTGTTTGTTGGCTTAAATTCAAATTCAATTTTTCCATAAGAAATCTGTCTGATGGCGTTTATTTAAAACAAAATATGTGCGGATTGACTTAAAAATGAAAATTCATGTATCGGCAGCCCATCGACGGCCATCCGCCTTGTACTCACCTTGATCGCAAGTCGATGTGTCCGTGCTTTTACAGTGGTTTCTCTTCTTGAGCGGTTTTTATTAACCTTCATACATTAGTCGCCATGTGGATTGCGATTAAGAAGCAGATGGTCAGGAGCCTGCGAAAATGTTTAATAATTGAAGCTTTCCAAATTCACGGCGGTTTCCATCTTCAGCACAAATTAATAATGTACACAGAAGGTATGGTGTACACAAAAAACACAGGTCGGTTGGTGTGCGATGAAAGCAGTGCAACGAAAAAATATTTTATTGAGCAAAGAAAAAGGTAAAAGAGTATCAAAAGCATAAGAACCGAATTTTTTCAAAGTTCATGTCAGTGTCTGTACCACTTCATCAAGCCCAACGGATTCAGAGAAGTTAGGCACTTTGTGAGGTATCGCCGACAAACTGATGCCACTGGCTAGTGGCGGCGGACAGCCACCGCTAGAACGTACGGGAGTAGATTCTCTTACTCAATTTAGGTTCCCGTTTCAGCAGAAATATAGCATTAAAAACTGGCAGTACGTGGTGAGTATGACGTGGCTACATCTAGAATAAAATAGTTGATCTCAAAGGTCGGTTAGCTTTGTCACAATTTCGGAATGAGAGACAATCAGGTTTCGTTAAGCTGCCGTCGAGAACGCATAATCTGAAATCAAGCGTCGTATGAAGTTGGCAGATTCAGGAAGATGTGCAGCTCTCACCGACTGTTTACGTAAGCCTGATTGTCTCTCATTTACAAGTTAGAATGTTTTGTAGTTTTTCGCTTGTATATGGAGAGGATAATTAATGGTTAATTTCGGATTTGTTGTCTTTTCTAATAAACGGAGGTTGGTTGCTGTATCAGACGACGTTATCAACGTTCGCATAGCGTCGGTAAGAAACGCTCCGGGTCAGTCAGTTGGTGTCTTTGTCTGTTGGTAGATACTTCTGACAATAATCACAGACAGTATTGACATTTGTCATTAATAAAGGCAAATGCGAGTGAGAAATCGAGGGATGGAGTCGACGGGTACAATTTAGGCCATAGCTGTTGATCTGCACATTGTAGTAATTAACCATACGCTGCCCGTTAATTAAGTGTACTTAAGTGATTGGTTCTTCAGCATACATGACTGGTTCACATCAGCACTTTGAACCGTCTTTATTCGTACTGTACGAATAAGGTTAATTCGTAATAGTCAATCACCATCCGCTGCCGAAAGAGTATCACATGATGAAGGGCTTTACGCGTGGTCTCTTTTTAGTTTATATGCTTCGCTTAGGCAGAATTGTTGCAGTGATGTTGCGAAACTTCTCATCCCTCAGATACCAATTATTTTGAGGTTCTTAACAGTGCATTAAAACTC